TTTCTTGCAAGATCTATTTGTGATCAACTAGTGTTGGTACTTATGCTAAACAAATATATTATTTCTAAATTTAAAGCTAAGTGTCAACACTAGATGGACACAAATAGATCTTGCAAGAAAATCAATTTTGTCATCAATAGGATCAACTAGTGTTGGTACTCATGCTTAACAAATATATTATTTCTAAATTTAAAGCTAAGTGTCAACACTAGATGGACACAAATCGATCTTGCAAGAAAATCAATTTTGTCATCAATAGGATCAACTAGTGTTGGTACTTATGCTTAACAAACACATTATTCCTAAATTAAAGCTTAATAGCAACACTAGATGGACACAAATCGATCTTGCAAGAAAATCAATTTTGTCATCAATAGGATCAACTAGTGTTGGTACTTATGCTTAACAAACACATTATTCCTAAATTAAAGCTTAATAGCAACACTAGATGGACACAAATCTGTCACACCTCTATTTTTCCCCAAACGAAAATGTTTGAAAAATAAAGTTTCTCCAATTAAAGTGACATTTTGAAAAGGGATTATTTTATTTCAAAGTCGCCACTTGGAATTGAGTTTTGGTGCTCCAAGTCACATAATTTTTACCCCTAATCAAAAGGAAGTTGACTCTAATTTTTAATGGTCTGCGAATTAGAAATCTGGATAAGAAATTCTATTTACCAAGGGGAAGGTGTAAGGCACCTCTCGAGTCCCGTGTTTCTAGCACAGTTGCTTCATTGACTTATATATTGGCTTGATTTAGTTTTTGGATATAGTATACTTATTAGCTATACATTTACTTATATCCCACCTTCTTTGATTTATTGTAACTGTCTTGTTTGGATTTTTTAGAGTTCGGGGAATTTTAGTATTGTCGTTTTAGTGGGAGTAGATAGTTGAATTATAATAGGAGGTAAAATTTTAGGGGATTTAGAATTAGGTTTAGAAAAGAAAATGTTAAAGAGGTTAAGATCAAATTTTTCTTTTGCACGTTATTTTCGTAAAAAAAAAAAAATTCAACATTCTGTTCCTTCTTCTTTTTACCTTTCAATTTTGTATTTTTTTTTTTTTTGTTTAACATATCTCTTCTTCTTTCATTTAAATAATTTTTGGTTAAATTTTTGTTTTCCCTTTTTTTTTTTTTACCTTTTCTTTATTTTTTATTATTATTACTTTTTATCACTTTTCATCTTTTGTTTCTTCCGTTTTTGCTTTTTATAATAAATGTTTATTTATTTTATTTTTATTCTTACTTTCTTTTTAATGATCTATTCTTCTTTTTTATTATCTTTATTTTTCTCTATTCTACACTATTTTTCCTTTTATTATTATATTTTTTCTCTGCTCACGTTTTCTTTTTTAATTCTATATATTATTTTTAGTTAATTTTTTCCTTTAAACTAATTGAGAGAAAATTGATATACGTAGTGATATAATAATATTCCTTCACCAAATGATGATAGTGTGAAATTACTAATAAAAGAACTATCTTACGTTGATGAGTTAATGACTCACTCAAATGAACTAATGTTCATCTCCTCCATTTTTAATATTTCGGATATGATAAAAATTATTCTAATAATTAATTGTCTCCATAAGTATGGAAATATTATTTATTTATTAAAATCCAGAAACTCCAAATGATAACTAATACAGAATCTCTAACCAATTTACATGTAATTAAACTAAAGTTATAAACGAAGTTGTCAATTTGTACCATCAAATAAATGTACATAAACATGTTGGAATAAAACTAAGAGTAAACAACAACCATCTTTGGATCAAATTAGTTGATTAAATCAAAGTCAAGTGTAAAAATAATTCGATGAGCAAATTTAAACAGTAGCAATTCATGCAATCAACAATATAATATGCGTCATAAAATAGTGGCATATAGCAATACATGTAATTTTAAGGACTTCATAACATCATAATCGAATTCAGAACAATTATTTCATTGAACTATATAAGAAATTAGAATTACCTTTTCGTAAAACTTAATTCCAACAAA